GATATAGATAAACAATTAATTAAATGATTAACATTTTAATTGTTATGAGGTTTTAGATTTTTACCATCACTTTGTACAAAACTGGTAAAGTTTTACCAAATAAGACAGATTAATCTAATATTATTAGCAACTTTTATTACATATTAATATTAGCACTTAATTGTTTTATTTTAATGGCCATATTACTTACGTAATAATACAGTTAATGAAAGAATATTTGAAAACATAACAATTAAACAAATGTGTAATTTTTTGGGCTGCAGTTCGCAGGGTGAGTCAGTAGAGGGCGGTGTTGAGTTCTAAAAGAAAAACAAACAAACGCACGAAGAAGCCGTCGCCCGCTGATGACGTTTCAGCATGAAAATGGATGGGAAACACATGTCTGCATTTTCTCTGTATCAAACTTTGCAGCCAAACAAGCCTCCTCCTGCTAAAAGAGCCGCTCCAAAAGTACAGGTGATTACATTTATTCCGGCTCATTTATGACTCTGCCTCTGCTGTTGTTTAAGTGCTGAAAACAATACATTTATCCTCTTTGTTGTGAGTCATTTTAGGCCACTCACTGTCTCTGTCATGCGTTTCATTAGGTGGAAACGAAGAAGAAAAAGAAAAATGACAAAGCAGCTGTTGATATGAAACCACAAAACGTCCAACAAAAAGCAAAGAAGAAGAAAACGAAGAAGAAGTTTGTTAAATCAGCTCAGAGAGACGAGAGTCTGCAGGCTGGACCAGCTCGTAATGTATTTAACTTTTTTTTTTATCTTTGCAGTTAAAGATGAATCTATCAAACTAAACTTGGCATTACTTTGTTTTTTCACACCTAATAAGGCTTCTGTGTGTTTTAAAGGAGGAGGACGGGGTGTGCGTTACTGCAGGATCGATAGCTGATCTTCTGACTGACCTGACAAAAGTCAACAACAGCAGAATAAGAGCAAGAAAACTCTTTCAGTGGCTCATCAGACCTATTCCTATCGAAGAGTTTTTCAAGTAGGTTCAAAATTAACATTAAACTAGACATGGGTTTTTACGATGTAAAAAACAAGTGTGCATTTCCTTGTAGCATGTCTTTACCTGCAGCAGTGCACTTGCAGAATGAAATGTGACCAAATTCAAATGTGTTTTCTACCAACTTGTGCTTGTCAAGTCAGCAGGTGTTTGTAATAAGGGTAATTGTGTGACAATATGAAGTTTGTAGAGATTTTCTGTTGAAGTTACTGGGTTTCGAACCCAGATCTGTGGTAGAGAATGAGGCCAGGGTTTGGTTTGTATGTGTGCAGAAAGTGGCAACATTGCCAATGTAATGGTTGTCACTAAATTGAAAAATATTACAACAATAAAGCAATATTAGGACAATATTATAGTAAAACATCAAAATACAATCATATTAGTATTGTAA